AGGGATTTTAGGGTTTAGGGGGTTTAGACTTTGAGACCTTAGAAGTTTTCACAGTCCTTTGAGAGTTTAGGGGCTTGGAGGGTTTAGGGTTTCAGAGTTTGGCAGGGTTCAGGGTCCGTCAACAATTTAGGGTTTAGGGCTTTGGGGGTTTAGGGTTTAGGGGGGTTCCCGGCAGTCTCAATATTCTGTGTTCTTTAAGAGTATTGGGTTTGAGGATTTCGGGTTTAGGGTTTCGCAGTTTAGTAGATTTCAGGGTCCTTTAAGAGTTCAGGGGGCACGGGTTTCAGGTTTGGAGAGCTTAGAGATTCAGAGTTTAGTGGGGTTCAGGGTCCCGTAAGAGTTTAGGGTGTAGGGGTTCAGGTTTGGAGAGTTTAGTAGGGTTTCAAAGTTTAGCAGGGTTCAGACCATTTAAGAGTTTAGAGTTTAGAGGTTTCGGGTTTGGAGGGTTTAGAGTTTCAGAGTGCAGCAGGATTTAGGGTCCTTTAACAGTTTAGTCAGTTGCTTCTAATAATCTAATATGTAGCATTGTTAATCACCATTAGTAGTTGAAAACAACAGTAGCAATCATAATGTATGTTTGCGCTGACTGTGTGTTCTCACAAGTGTACCACAATTAATGGAAATAAACACCCAATTACAATGAATTAATGGACTTGTTTTCTGAAGCTTTAAACTCTCCAACGTGAACCCGCCACTACACCCTAAACTCTTAACGGAGCCTGAACCGTTCAGGGTCCTTCAAGAGTTTAGGGTTTAAGGGTTTCGTTCAAGGTCCTTTAAGAGTTTAGGAGGCAAGGATTTCAGGTTTGGAGAGCTTAGAGATTCAGAGTTTACTAGGGTTCAAGGTCCCGTAAGAGTTTACTAGGGTTTCAAAGTCTAGCAGGGTTCAGACCATTTAAGAGTTTAGGGTTTAGAGGTTTCGTGTTGGGAGGGTTTCGAGTTTCAGAGTGCAGCAGGGTCTAGCCAGTGCCCAGAGCCCGAACTAAATTCGGAATAAACTCAAAGCTACAACCCCCGAACCCTTTGCGGCCTTAGGCCTCTTACACCCCTGACTAAAACCCTAGTAAACTCTGAAAACCCTAAAGCCCAAACCCCTTACCTTGAACCCGAACCCTAAACCCTGCAAGCCCAAAGCCCCGTTATTCGAAGGCGCAAACCCTTGAAACTCTAAGCTCTAAACCTCAAATCTCTAACCCTCAAACCCTCCTGCTGTGGCCTCTGAAGGCCACAGCAGCGCTTCCAGGCTGAGGTTGGGTTTGCCAATATCCCACGGGAGCCGATCAGCTGCGACCGGCTTAAAGCTGTGTTTCGTTCAAAAGTGGGCTGCCCTGCCCGACACGCCTCTTTTACTTGGGGCTTTTCTGGAGTGAGCGATGGGGCAGGAATCTCGGCAGCTTTGGTCCTTTCTGGGGCTCAGGACTATCAAGAGACAGCCCTGCGCTTTCAATCCGCAACCGGATCTACGTGGTCTCCGCCGTGCATCTACCCCCGACAGCTTTGTGAGTCCTACAAGATCTTTGCTGCTCGGGTCCCAAAGGACAGTGTGGGCAGGCTCGAACGAGCCGCCGTTTGCCACGCCTTTGCCTCTCGAGCGGACACACCAAGGAGCGGGGGCATCACGGCCTCAGGAGCTGTGAGGGCGACCCTTCGACGAGATGATGTGGAGCAGATGCTCTTTTCGGTTTATGCCGGCCGCCCTTTGCCTGTGGTTTAATTTACGGACAGCAAAGCCCGACTCTGTTCCTTCCGTGCGGAGGACTTGCAAGAGCGCGGTGAATGGTCTTATCCATAATGAGGCCGACGAGAAGTTCGGTTGCGTGCCTGCCGGCGGTTTGGCTTTGCGAGGCCTTGCTGCCCAGACTCGCCGTGGTGCCCAGGAGTTGTCTCCACCCAAACGATGTGGACATGCAACGGCTTCGCGAGGCTAGGCTCCTCCTTCCAGAACCTCATGACAACCTTCGTGGAGAAGCGCAGCCCCGTTGCCGAGCACGAGGCTGCTGAAGGCGAAAAGGGCACCACGCCAATCGGCCTGCGCTTCCAAGGCCCCCGGCGACTCGTGAGATCGAGACACAGTGTTGCATTTCGCTGGCAAGGTGGAGCCGGGCAATGCCAGCTTTGGCCGGCATTTATCGAATGATTTCCTTGGTTCTGCTGGGGCGAAGCCCTCACCGGCACAGGCGGAGCCGCCAGATCATGTCGCCTGTGATGGCACCTTAGCTTCTAAGCCCGTCCGATGCAATCCCGGAATCCGAGACTTGCTTCGCCAGCTGGATTAGCAGTTTGTTTTGGACATTTTGGACCAGTAGGTCTTGCTTGGGTTCATTCCTTGGTGCCTTTGTGCTCCCGCCTGCACAGCTGTGCCTGAGCGACGCTGAGGGAGAAAGCATTTTAGATGCGCAGGGAAACTTTTGCAGGTTGGGTGTTTACACTGGCGCAGAAACAACCGGAGCTGCGACTCAGTTGATGTAGCCGCCAATGTTGCCAAGGCTTGTTGTGCAGAAATGCAGCGGGCCGTTTAGCCGAAAGCACAGCCGGAACATGAGCTGACGCACAAGTCGGAGCATATTATCATGCGCGACTGAGTCCGGGGCTCGAGCCCAGCAGGATGGGGAACAGAGTGAGGAGCACTACCACGATCACAGAAGGAGGCTGCGGGATGGGCAAGGTGCCAGTCATGCACAGCACTACTGAGAGCAAGCACACAGCGTCGCAAACACAGAGCGATCCGCGAGGGCTTCGAGGGGAGAGAGTAGCCAGATCAGGATGATGGGGCGGCCCCATCGGGGGAGCCGAGTGACACTTTTCACCAAGACCTGCAAAGGTGTCTTGAAAGGGGGTGCCGCTCATCCGGTCCTTCTCATGTACAGAATGACGACACGCCAACAGTTGCTACTGATGTGAAGGAAACCAGTAGGACGTGGTATGTAGTTCTCAGAGAGCTACATACCACGTCCTACTGATTTCCTTCTAGATCGCAGTAGCCGGCCACCGCCTTGGGTAGCGGTAGTGTAGTTGTAGAGCGTGCCGCACGACACTTTCATGCTCACCCTGCAGTATGAGTGAGCGCCCGCTGAATAGTCGACTCGACTAAAGCGATTGAATGCAAAAAGAGCCTTCCCGGCCGAGCTTTAGGCGAGGAAGCAGCTGCGTTGATCAAAGGTCGTGTGGTCTCCATTGATCCTTTTGTCAAGGCTGCGGTCGATGTGGCAATGAGCATGGTTCCTTTACCATGGGACATGTTGAAGAAGTCTGGACCGGCCGAGACACCATCGTTCTTCATCGAAAAGCTGGCCCAGAGACTTTCGAATATTCCCTTTATATTGCGGAGTGGTTGATTTATACCCGCTTGCCCAGTCGAGAATACCATCGCCAAGGTTTGGGTGCGGGACGCTTATTCTACTTGGGCACTTTTGCACGTAGGTTGTTTTCCTAGTGTTCTGCGCACATCGGAAATTTTCACTTGACACTTTTCCACTTTTGTGCAAGCATGTTCGGATGTGACCGTTGTGCAACTTGGCCATTCCATGCAGTGCTGCAAGATTTCCTTCGAAGAAAGAGGAAAACTTTCACCTTCCCGCCCGCCCAGTAATCGGGGTTTTTGTCGGGTCCTGCGTGGCCAGCTGTCTTGTGACATAGTGTCGTGGACAGTCAGTGAAACGACCTCTTATCCTGGCTTCGTCAGCGCAAGGAAAAACAAAGGTGCTTCCATTGTCCGAGTGATTGCAAGTGATTTCAAGTGATTTCGAGTATTCCTTACATATTGCGGAGTGGTTGATTTATACCCGCTTGCCCAGTCGAGAATACCATCGCCAGGATTTGGGCGCGGGACGGTTATTCCGGTTTTGCAAATTTTCCCACATTTCTGGAGTTTTCAGGTTCCCTCCCCTGGTTGGGACATGGAGTATGCGGAGGACACAGTCCTCCTTTTTGTTCAGCACGTCAACTGAAGCGACTCTTTCACTCAATACAACACCATGGCCACTCCGGAAGCCTCACCGTCAACCAAGAGAAGTGCGAACATCTACGTATGCATTCCGACCAAAGAGTTTACTATTCCCCCTCCTCTAACCCTTGCGATTGTCGTTTTTGCTCTGGCCACAACCATGACGTCACCCCAGTTCCACTTTCCGATGAAGCTAAATCCTGGGGAGTATATCTTGATTCCCTTCCATCTAACCGTAAAACAATCTTATATAATTATAGCGTGTCGCAAGCCATCACCGCTTCCAAACTACTTCGCCCTCTCCTTTCACATCCTGCCCTTGCCCCGTCATGGAACTGACAGTATATCGCTCTATTGTTCTCTCCATTCTTACATACGCCATGGACAGCGCTCTGCTATCACCAGCACAAATCCAAAAAATGAATACGGTTCACTTTAAATCTCACCACCCTATATTCAAGATTCTACCAGAGGGTTCTCGACTCCTTTACAGCAGATTGCTTTAACGAATACCTACCACATTTAGCTTCTTCAACACGCCGCATTCCCACTCGATCCCAGTTGTATTCACAGCTAAGATTGCAATTGTTCGGCCATTTGTATCGACATGTAGACACTTTAGAATACCAAGTTACATTCATGGGCTTTCACCCACATAGGCATGCTTTCAGTTAGAGTATACCTTGCCTATTTAGGCTAATAATGCCACCGCCAACCCATTAGATGATCATTCCTAGGGTCCCCCCACATTTCACCGATATATCACTACTGCTTCCCCATTATTAATACAATTCTAGGAATAACCATAACCCCATCTATTATTTCTAAGGTGGCATTATTGGCCTAAATAGGCAAGGGGTTCCCTGTAGAATTTGGGTCAAAGTTTGGGGTGAAGGGTGCTTCCTGTAGAGGGCAGTGCAGGCTTTTTGGCGACAGTCGGAACACCAAAGATTAGCACGTTCAGTTTTACATCCGCTACCCCCACACACACAACCCCCCATGTCCAATAGGACGTCAGCCTGCCCTTTGAAGTATCTTGTTCGCCGGAGTTGCAGCCATGGGCGACGGCAACAGAAGCAGGTCGCCACCACCCAGAAGTGGCAAATTCTGGTGGGTTCAGATGGGTGAAGATGAAAGCCGTATCACAAAGATCTTCGAAGCAAACCTTGGGCATCAGAAGGATATCGATGACTTCCTTGCGGAAGCACACAATATTGCGAATATGACAGTGTCTGTTTTCGACATGAAGCTGTTCGAGGACCGCGGATCAGACCGACCTCTGGATCGGGGAGGCTCTATGAGTGAGGTGATGGGCGGCATTGACAAATCTGCTCCGCTGGTTGTCAAATATCCAGCACCGCAACCATCACAAGCCACTAGCCAATATTTTTATTTTGTTTTTTTCTCTCTGTTAGTTTAGGTTGACTCCCAGCTTAACCCCACGACTCAGTCCCCTTAAGCCTTAAGTAGTTCACGCTAGGAGATTTGGTTCGTTGTTACGGTTCCTTGCTAGGATTTTGTTGGTGGGTTCGGTGCTTTCCATTCCAGAATAGTTGCTGAATTTGTCAGTGTTTGGGCGCTAGTGTTAGCCACAGGAGAAGCTGCGGAAAGTGACTGGAGTATACTGGTCTACATGGGCAGACGTGCAATTGGTTGAGATGGGCACATTCCGCTGCCGAGAAGATTGTCGCGCGCATTTGCCCGCGATCCCACGGAGTGACGCAAATCGTTTTTCTTCTGAGTGGACATGTGAAGGCTTATCATCACGGCCCATCAGTTCTTCTCATCACGTGCGAGACAGACGTAACATTCTTGGTGGCGAAGGTGGACAAATCGCGCACATTCTGCCACACAGTGCCAATTGCGCAGAAGTGTGGCAGCCCGCTTTGGCCACACTTTTTGCAGATGATCCAAAGCAAACTGGTGGAGTTCCTCTCACCAAGCTCGTGCAAGGTTCCAAGGCCAGAAATCTAGAACGTTATTGTCTGAGGCATGTCAAATGGAACAAGATGTGTTTCTGGAACGAGGCGGAGCTGTTTGACAATCAGCGTGCCATAGGGCTCATCCCATGCATGGATGTGCAGAGTATGCTTGATTGGCATGGTGAGGGTTATGTTGCGATCCTTGTAGCAAATAAGGCGGACAGCTATCACAAGGTGCAATTGACAGGTGAGCAGAAAGATGCGACTGAGCAGCAGGTGGCGGCTGCTTTCGAGGGACTATGCCGACTCCTGCGCCATTTGGCCTCGAAAAGCGTGTCAAGCAAGATCTTGAGAGCAGCGACAGCAGTTCGCGCCGAATCCGACTCGCATTCTATGTGTCGGGCTTTCCACCGATGGCTCGATTCTCTCGCGAACGAACGCAATGTTGCTGTGCCTACACCTACAAACGGTTTGAAGTTTCCTCTGGTGAGCTTTCAAAAAACTGATTGGGAATGGGCAACTGAAAGCAATTTCACCGTCGTGCCTCACCATGCGCCACATCCATTGTTGCTTATGCTTCGAGCTTGCAACTTTCATGTTCACTACGTATCTCAAGGAAAGCATCTAGTCCTTCCGGCATGTCTTCCACCAAGCAGTGAAACTTCGGACTCGGAAGACTTTGGTGGTTACCTCCCCAGACTGAGAGAGTTGCGAGACTGGTGGGCGAAGCATTCTACGTCCGCAGGAGCAGCTGACATCGAAGACCTGCGCAGACTTTTGGCACAAAGAAGGTCTGTGAAAACAGTGAAAGCACTGATTGCCGGTGTCAGTGGTAGCAGATGGACACGACAGTCAGTTGAGCAGGGGAGCCAGAAGACCTAGGATTCAAGACGCCATACCTAATCAGCATTTCGTTACTCTGATACTCTAGTTGCAATATTGCAATCTGTTTCAGGAGGTAACCACATCTTGGAAGCACTGCCTGACAACGGCAGGTTGTCCGCCACAAAGAGCCGTGAGTAAAACATGAAAGCAGAAACTAAAGGTTTTTGCGTGTTGGTCAGCAGCGAAAGAACAAATGAACCAAGAACCTTAGAACATCACCATCAAATGACGAGTTCAGACCTTCAGAAAAACCAATCGTAAACAAGCCCGGTTTTGACTACCTGTCATTTTGGGGCCCTCTCAAGGGTTCTAATGCTAGCAATGTTTAAGGCAGATGAGCCGGGGTTTCTGGGTTTCAGAATTCGTTTGCTGTGGAATCCTACAATTAGTTTCGGCAAAAAGTGTTCAGACAAATGTTGTGTTTCTTATCTTACGTATTTCCTTTTAAAAGCACACCAAAAAACAGAAAGGCGCCAACGCAAAAAACAACAAAACAGTAAAATGAAAATTCATCAGCAGCACTATCTGACAATCTGGGCTTGGGGTGAATGAACCCTTACTTACACCTTGAACAACTCAAATCGCAAATACGCTCTATCATTGCCTTCAACATAGTAATATTGTTGACCCAATTTTTCGTCAATTCTTTCTATGGTATAAACATTTTGGCTAAAATTGCCCACTCTCTCTTTTTCGTTGGGTTTCCTCTTCCTAAATATTTTAACTTCATCACCAACACTTAATTCAGGATAGACCCGATTTCGTTTAGCATTCATATTTAAATGCAGTTTCACTTTTAATTCGTTGCTCGGTTTTCTGGCATCCTTTGGGGTGAAGCCAGTTGCGGAATGCTTCATTTTGTTATTATATGTTAATAATATTTCAAAAATATAATCCGTCCATTGGATATTGTTTTTAGCCCTTTTCTCATCAGCCTCAACTCTACGATATAATAAATCTTTAAATGTCCTAATAGCTCTCTCGCTGAAATTTGGATGCGCCCTAGTCCTGTG